TGATTGATCGTGCTCGTCCGAGGTATTTGTGTATCTCGGCGGGGGAGTCAGGAGGAGCGAAGGTAAGGATGAGATTGCGGGTGTACGGATCTGTGTTGAGCATGACTCCACAATCAGAGAGTTGTGCCGTGGACAGCAGATTGAAGCGCAAGTCAGGCATATAGAGCACGTCATTGGAGGTGATGTGCGTGCTGATGTCTCGAGCTTGCAGCAAGACGATGCCTTGCACGTTTGTGCGCAGTTGTCCATTGTTGGCGACGGTGATGTAGGTGGGGGGAGCGTGGCTGATGTTCGAGATATAGCGTACTAATCTCACCATGTGTTGACCGCAGCAGCTGTCCAGGTACCAGGTGTTGTGGGCGGTGTTGTTGTTGCGCAGAAGTAGTGTGCCGTGGTGTGAAAGTAGTCGTCTGACATCTTCTGAGGAAGTATTTATCCTCTTTCCATCCCACGGGGACGTGGCGCTGGTGCTCATGGGGTGGGCTTTCTCTCAGTTGTATTGGCAGATGCCATTCTTGCTCGTCCTCAACTTCGTAGTAGTAGTGACGTTCTATAAGAGGATTGTTGTACCCTTCTTCAGGTTGGATCAACTCGCTGGCGGGTTCTTCTTCTTCGTCCGGTGAGGTAGCTCGTGGCCGACGCCTTGTTGCCATGTTTGCGATTACGTTTCTTGTTGCTCGTCCTTGGGGTGCTTGTGGCTGCAGTTGTTGTTGTGCAGGAGGATGAGGAGCTTGACGCTGAGACTGGAAATGACGAGCATCCTGTCAGCCGACCCAGTTGTTCTGGTGAGTGGGATTTGGGTGGCGATGGTTGGACCGGGACTTGCATCGGTCTGTTGAGTGTCCAAAGACCTTGCATATTTTGCAATAATGGCACCCTGGTTGTCGTCGCTCTTCACGGTTATCGGTGTAGAAGGCGAGGCGCTCTCGGCGCACGCTGAGCTTGTCTTGCTCGAGTCCATGTTCTGCTGTTCAGTCAGGAGAGCGGCGCATAGCGCGGCTTTTGAGATAATTCCTCTTTGTCAAAGTAACGCTTTGCAGGGCTTCCCCTCAAGCCTGAGTCCTTGAAGGACTTTATTGACGAAGATTTCTTCCAAAATCGCGCTTCCGTGTTTCGTGATTTGATCACGAATGTTCCGACAGCGATTAATATATGTGCTCGCTTTCTCCCCGTGCCCCATCTTGGTCTCCATGAGTTGCTGCAAAAGTCTGCCGGAGGTGACCGAGTCCTTCGGCTAATATACCTCAACGAGGTGCTTCCAGGCTTCCCAAGGCTGGAGCGGCGCGCCCTTTGTGTAAACAAGAATGAAGAAAGGAGGGGGTTCACTAGCAAGCAGTTGGATACATATAGCAAACCCTAATTGGGCTGTACTCACTATGGAGTACCCCACTGCAGGCTAGACAATAATAACATTCTGACACACCCCCATAGCCAAAGTGGGGTGTAATCAGCACAACAAGTAGGCATAGTAATAGTTCACAATTATAAGCAAAGCTAAAGGCAGTCACAGAGGGCAAGTGAGGAGGAGGAGGGACTGTGAGAGGAGAGAAGATGGGAGACGACGGCTGAAGCTGCAGACACACGGGCAACAGGAGCTGCTGGCACAGTGGCTACCGGGACAGCGCCCCGGACTACTGGAGTAACTGGCTCACGGGCTACAAGGAGCTACAGGAGCAACGGACCCACGGGCGACAGGTGCAGCAGGCTCTCTGGGCTACCAGGACAGCGCCCCGGACTACAGGTGCTGCGGACGACAAGACGGCAGCCTCCTCTCAACCTCCCCAAACAGTCCCACCCCCTTTGACACACACCCCCTGCTTCACCCCTAGCTCCACTCCCCCTTCACCCCCCTAGCACCACTCCTTCGGCTCCCCACACACACACCCCCCTGAGCGGCAGCTGCAGCAGCGGGAGACGGAGGAGGAGGAGGAGTAGGGGACGGCGCACACAACGGGCACCCCCACAACCGCCACCCCCACACTCCTCACCCCCAAACCCTAAAACGGGTTGCAAGGGGTAGGAGCGCGGGGGACGGCGGGGGGGGAAGGTGTGCGGCCCCCAGGGCGCCACCACGGGGCAGCAGGGAGCCGCGCGCGGCTCCCCAGGGCGGCGCGACGGGGAATCGGGGGCCGCGCGCGGCTCCCAAGAGCGTCGCGACGTGACGACGCGAACGGGGGGGGGACGCGCGGCCCCCGTGGCGCCACGACGGGCGACAGAAGGAGGGGGACGCGCGGCCCCCTAGGCGCCTCGACGGGCGACGGGATGGGGGGGACGCGCGGCCCCCGCGACGCCACGACGGGCGACGGGAGAGGGCGCCACGAATGGCGACGGGATGGCGGGGGGGGCGCGCGCGGATCCACCGTGCAGAAAACCGCCGCGCGTCGTCACGACCCAAGGGGGTCGACCTGCTCTGAAACCATGTTAAAATCAAGAAGTGTAAACAAGAATGAAGAAAGGAGGGGGTTCACTAGCAAGCAGTTGGATACATATAGCAAACCCTAATTGGGCTGTACTCACTATGGAGTACCCCACTGCAGGCTAGACAATAATAAGATTCTGACACTTTGTAGGAGCACATGCCGAGTTGCTTCGAACAATCTTACCCGTGCATTTCATTACCGTTGGAAACTGGGAGAGCGTCCTCATAGCAGCAATAGCAGAGGGCATGGCAGCGGCACAGAAGCACATAGGGAACGATTAGAGTTGGGACATGCATCAATAGCCACTGATCCGCATCAGCGACCGCTGGTAGAAACAAACCAACATTACAACTGGCCGCCAAAGAAATGCATGATGGTTGAGCATGTGGCAGATGAAGCTCACCACTTGGTTGATTGAAGCGCGATGATGGTACCATCAATAGTGCACGCGGTTTCGTCACGTAGGGATCGCCCGTGCAGTCTGGCGTGAAGCAGAACGAGACGCTATTGCACATGGGTTGGTCATAGTTACCACCCCTTGTGATCTCTGTGTCGAAGTTGCCCGTTGGCAACGTTCTCCTATCCATGCCTTTGCAGTCAGAATCGATGAGGAAAGACCTGGAGCGGCCTACTGCTAAGATCAATCGCACCGACGAATAGGTTGGAGATGCGGCACCGGGTTCTGTGGGGAACGCGAGAGCAACAAGGACATGCACGAGGATCGCAGCGAGGCTAGTGACTTGAAGGGCAGACGGCGGGGCGCGCGCCATGGCGATGAGAGGAGGAATAATTGGCGAGGGGAAGCTGCACGTGCAGCGTGTGGCAACGACGCTGGCCGCAGTTGTATGCTAGCGCCAAAAGGAACGAGGGCGATAAAAAATAAAATCGAGCGTGAAATGGCGAAAGACGGGTGGACCAGTGAGGGGGTGGGGGGTTATGTAGAGAAAGCAGATCTCGCCGCCGTGATCCTCGCACAAAGAGGGACGATGCTTGAAGGAGGCCCAGTTAATAGCTGATGACTCAATACGGGATGAGAAACGGTGATGCCTGGACGATGCGGATTCTCGCGGGTACAGGAACGCGACATTTCACATTGCCGCACAGTGTTTGGGTGATGGCAACGTGTTGGGCGCATTATATGTTAGAGAAGCGGCTAGCCGAGGGAGGGACGAGAACGAGCGTGAACGAGATCCAAAAATTTGCTGACGCACCCACGTCGGATTAGTGTGTACTTATGATTCGACAACGCGGGTTTTGCGGGAGCGCAACATCTCGCACTACCGAATGATTATTGGCCGACTACTATGCGGTGGACTAGGTGGAAAGACTACACATGTTCTCCGATATCTTCACTACCCTTAATTTCACACCGGGTTTCAGTGACACTTCGGGGTCCTCAGCCCAAACTTCCTTGGGAGCCGAGCCAAGCGTGGTTGAACATCTGGACCCCCCCCCCCCCCCCACAGAAATGATGCAATTTATACTCGAGGGGGTGACTTGGATAATTGAGCCTTCTGATGTTTACAGGGGGTCGTCTAATGTTTGACTTATACAATGTCAAGGAGAGTGCTAAAGCAAAATGGGTTACATTAAGACGAGAATAGTAAATATGCCTAACCCTAAAATAGCCATACCTCCTAGGAGGCTGCCCACAAGCATATATTATGTTTTGATACACCCCCATAGGCGAAGTGGGGGACAGCACGAACAACAAGTGGTCACAAGACTGTTGGTGCAACCCTACGGTTTGCACTCGGCTTGTTGTCCGTGTGCGTGAATGTGTGTGTGTATGGAATGGTATGAGGGCATGGGATAATATATATTTCATGCTTATAATTGTGTGTGAATGTTGAGTCATGATGTCGAGTGTGCGTGTCGAGTCAATAGCAAGTTATCGCTAGACGCGTGTTACGCGGTCGTTTGTGTCTCGCGCGCGGTTTCTATTTTGTCGTGCGCGGTTTCTATTTTGTCCTGTGTCGAACGTTCGGCGTGTCGCAGGTGTGTGCAGCAGACCCATCAAGAACTCAAGGATGAGTTTGTGATGAAGAGCCCGAGCCTTGGTGTCAAGCCTCAAGTGATTTCGAAGCTTGCCAAAAGGGTACACCTCAAGATATTGAAGATAGTTACATTACTTTGTGTAGTGTAACATTTCACTTGGTGTAGGCCCTAGTGAAGGGTAGTTTCGAGACCCTTCGTGGTTGGGGACAGTGTGGCACTGTTCCACATCACTGTACCTCGGCTCTTGGGGTTTGTAGGAGCTGGGAGTCATTCCCAACTCGTAACTCTTCCTATCTTGTGTTCTAAGACTATAGTGGCTGCCATAGTACCGTTCGTTCAAACCGACGCTGTGTCGTCAATTCTTTATCAAATCGTGCAATCTAAATTGCTTATTGTAGGCGACGTAAAGACGCTCCAGATACAATTTGAATCAAGTCATTTGCAGCTGTGAGCAGAACGGTATCAACGTTTGAAGCCGCTGTGCAGAAATCCGTCTGTGCTCTCTATCTTTCGTTTTAGGCACATTCAAGCCTATTGTGACTATAACAAGTGGTATCAGAGCCCCTTGGAGCAGTTTCGACAATGTCTGGACCTGAGGAAAGGGGTGGCAGAGGTGCTGGTGGCAGTGGAGAAGCTCAAGCTCAAGGCCAACCCCGTGATTCAGCCATGGCGCCCATGCAACCAAGTCTTGGCCCACCTAGGGATGAGCCTAGGGTGTTTGGGCTTGACAAGTTCAACGGTGACAACTTTGCTGAATGGTCCTTCAAGATGGAGAACATGTTTGACCACTATGACCTGCTGGAGGTGATGGAAGGAACGGAGAAGCGCCCCGAGAACGACCCGGAGAAGAGCCCGTGGGTGCGGAAGAGCGCACAAGGCTATCTCTTACTTGGGCAAGCGTTGGGGAGCAGTCAGATCCGTCACATCAAGCCATTCCAGCGTGAACCAGAGAAAGGACCAAAGGCATGGGCTGCTCTCAAGGGTGTACATGCTCCTGCAACAGCGGCGGTAGCGGTGGTGTTGGAACGGCAAATGGCGGCACTACGAATTGAAGAAGACGAAGCGGTTGAAGAAGGGGTGCAGAAATTCTTCGACTTGTTGACGCGGCTTGAGGGAGCTGATTTGAACTACAGTGAGCTCCAAAAGAAGACCAAGTTGCTGGCCTTACTCCCAGAGTCATGGTCCTCGCTCATCATCAACCTTAATCGCGACTTGCCCCGCCTCTCGCTTGAAGACGTGAAGCGAGCTATCCTTCAAGAGGATTTCCGCCGCCGTGAGTTGGTGAGTGCGGATGGCGCTGGGGCAGCGAGCATCGGCCGTGGATATGGTCGAGGAAGAGGCAGAGGACGAGGGGGAGGAAGGTTTGGTGGCAGCAACTTCGGCGGAGGCCGCAGGAGTGGCGGTTACGGCAGCGACGACAAGAGCTACGGACGCGGTCGCGGCCAATTCGACGGCGAGTGTCACTATTGCCACAAGAGCGGACACATGTGGCGCGACTGCTACGAACTCCCTGATGGTTGGACCCCTGCTCAAGGCCAAGAGGGTAGAGGAGCAGGAGGAGGGAGAGGACGAGGCCGTGGAGGCCGTGGCGGTCGCGGTGGCGGAGCTGCAAACATGAAGAGCGGAGACAACGACAAGGACCCGAGCGACGATCGATACCCGGGTCTATTCTACTTCGTGTCGACGCAAGTACCGGCTGGTCCAGAGAAGGATGAAGGCTTTGAGGAGCCAGCAGCTGTGGGGAAGGTGACCCTACACCCCTGGACTATTGGGTGATTGATAGTGGCGCTACCTATAGCATGACACCTCGCCCGGACTTGCTCACCGAACTCGAGCCGTCACCGGTGAAGCATGTCACATCGGCTTTGGGGCAGCGAGCAGAGGTGAAAGGCATGGGCAAGGCCATGTTCAAGGGTGCTGATGGGAAGATGGTGGGCCTCAAGAACGTGCTTTGGGTGCCCAGCCTTGCTGCAAACCTGATTTCCGTGCGGCGGTTGGCAAAGGCCGGCATGGACACGAACTCGAAGGGAGCCAAGACCTACACCGCAAGGCTTGGCGATCGAATTCTTTGGGACCTTCATGAGGACAGGGATGTCTACAACGAGATGTGGCAGATCCCAGTGGTCCCTATGCCTAAGGAGAGGCAAGTGGCAGCAAGCATCAGCACCAAGGATGGAGCGGTCGGTAGCGACGATGGCGCGAACGGTCGCGCTAAGGAGAATGAGCTCAAGAAGAGCAAACCTGGAGGGACCAGCAAGTTCAGTGAACCTAAGGAGAGTGGTGCAGCAACCAAGGAGCAGCAAAAGGGTGAGGAGAACCCAGAGGCAGCAGCGGAGGAGGACTACGGAGAGAGTATGTGGGGCGCTATTGCGAGCGCGGCATTCTCCAATCCAACTTCGGCTACGGGGGAGTGTGATTGGCTCATCTTGCATCGGCGCATGGGGCATGTGGCCCTGCCCATCTTGCAGCAGCTAGTGAAGAATGAGATGGTTGCTGGCATACGTGTGAAGGGGGAGCCCGATGAGGTGCTTGGCTGCCCGACGTGCATTCAAGCCAAGTTCACCCGGTTTCCGTTCCCTAGTTCGGAGGCAACGGCAAAGGCACCGCTTGATGAGGTGGTGATGGACGTGGTGGGCCCCCTGAAGCTTGGAGCTGCTGGAGCTGAGTATTTTCTCACCATTGTCGACGTCTACACCCGCATGACTTGGGTGTACGTGCTGGCCAAGAAGAGCGACGTGGCTGAAACGTTGAAGACGGATTGGTTCCCGATGGTGGAGCGGCAACAAGACCGTCTAGTCAAGTCAATCCGCACCGATCGAGGGGGAGAGTTCCTGAGCAAGGAGTTTGGGTTGTGGCTGAAGAAGAATGGTATTCGGCACTCCCTCACCATGCCATACTCCCCTGCAATGAACGGCATCGCCGAGCGAGCGAACCGCACAATCACGGAGGCGGCACGCGGGTTGCTCATTGAAGCCGGGCTACCCGACTATTTCTGGCCTGATGCGGTGCGGAGCGCGTGTGTGGCCAAGAACAGAGCCTTGACTCATGTGGGAGCAGACAAATGGGTGCCCTATGTGGAGTGGATTGGAAGGAAGCCAAAGGTGGATATGCTTCGGGTGTTCGGGTGCATGTGTATGGCGCTTGTGCCTAAGCATCTTCGGCACAACAAGCTTGGTGCCAAAGCGATTTGGGCCGTGCACTTTGGCATGGCTCAAAACAGCAAGGGGTGGCTTCTTTGGGACCCATTCACCAAGAAGTTCTTGGTGAGCAGGGACTGCAAGTTCATGGAGAACTTCATGTACAAGGATTGGAAGGCGGAGAATGAGGCGAAGATAGGCGTGCGGTTTGGGGAGGTGAAGAGTTCTGGTTTGGAGCATGTGGAGCTGCCTTTGGAGCTGAGCAGTGGCAGCACAACCACAAGGCAATCCTCCCTTGTGAATGGGGGAGAGGAGGCCAATGATGCAGAGGAAGAAGAGGAGGAGGTGCAGCAAGTGAGCGAGCGTGCACCGTCACTCCCTTCCCGTACTACGAGTGCTCCACGGATTCGAGCCACACCGCAGCAACGCCAAGGCCTTCAAGTCCCTGCAGCTGAGGAGGAAGGAAGGGGGAAGAGGAGAGTTCAACCCCCTAATAGGCTGACCTATGATGCGCCGGGAAAGCAGGGCAAGACAGCCCTGGCCGGAGCGGCAATGATGGTCGGAGACGACGAGGAGAGTGACTACGAGGAGTGTGCCTTCGCGTTCTTCTCTCCGGTGGAGATGCCGGGAGAACCAGCAACTCTCAAGGAGGCTTTGGAGAGTAGTGATGCTGAGGAGTGGAAGAAGGCCATGGAGAGTGAGCTGAAGAGCATCGAGGAGAATGACACGTTTGAATTGGTGGAGCTACCGGAGGGGCGTACGGCGATAACGTCCAAGTGGCTCTTCAAAATCAAGTCGGATGCCGACGGCAAGATCGAGCGCTACAAGTCTAGGCTTGTAGCCAAGGGGTACCAGCAGAAGGAGAAGGTGGACTTCAAGGAGCTGTTTGCCCCTGTGGTGAAGACGACGACGCTGCGAACCCTATTCGCGGGAGCCGCCATCAAAGGATGGGTAGCAAAGCAAATGGACATCGTAACGGCATTCCTTAACGGCATCCTTGAGGAGGAGATTTTTATGGCGCAGCCAGAGGGGTTTGATGATGGTAGTGGCAGAGTGTGGAAGCTGAAGAAGGCCCTCTATGGGCTGAAGCAGGCCCCTAGGCAATGGTACATGAAGCTGCGCGAAGTGTTGGAGGGGATCGGCTTCACTCCCTCAACGGCCGATCACTCCTTGTTCATGCTTGGCGAGGGGGAGCAGAGGAGTTTCATGGTGGTTTATGTGGATGACATCCTCATTTTCTCACCCTCTTCTGACCTTGTGAAGGAGGTGATGCTGAAGCTTCAAGACAAGTTCAAGTGCAAGGCCCTTGGTGACGTGAGCTTCTACCTTGGGCTCCACATCGAACGAGATGTGGAGAAGCGGTGCATGCGGGTGCATCAACGAAAGTACCTGGAGGCATTGGCTGCCAACTTTGGGCAGAGTGAAGGCCATGTGGCTACACCCTTTCCCTCTGGGTTCAAGTGTGTGAAGGGACCAGAGGAGGAGAGCGTTGGTGAAGAGGAGAGGCGCCGATTTCACTCGTTGGTGGGCAGCCTCATGTATGCGGCGGTAAACACCCGACCGGACGTCGCGTTTGCTACCGGGCAGCTGGCTAGGGTTGTGCAATGCCCTAATGAGGAGCAGGTAGCAGCTGGAATGAGGGTGGCCAAGTATCTTGGCCAAACACCGACCGTTGGGCTGCAATACTCGGCGGCGGCACAAAGGCGCCAAAAGGGCGCGGATGGTGTTGAACCCGGGCGTTTGTTCCTCACCGCCTACTCGGATGCTTCATATGCATCAGAACCAGAGGACATGACAAGTGTGGGAGGCTTCATATGCTGTGTTGGTGGAGGCCCAACTGCTTGGGAGAGCAAGAAGCAGGTTGACCAAGCTTTGAGCTCGGTGGAGTCCGAGTACATGGCACTCTTCCGTGCCGTACGGGAGATTGTGTGGCAGCGGCGTTTGTTGGCTGAATTGGGGGAGGAGCAGCAAGGACCTACCCCACTGTACTGTGACAGCCAGGGTGCCATTGCTCTTGCTAAGAACCCTGTGTTGCATGGACTCACGAAGCACATGAGGGTGAAGTGGCATTGGACGAGGAGCATGGTAACCGCGGGTGAAGTTGAGTTGCGCTACGTGAAGACCACGGGGCAGCCGGCTGACATGATGACCAAGAGGCTGGTGGAGCAGCAGCATTGGAAGTGTTGCAAGCTGGCTGGGATGGCTCTGAACTGAGAGAGCAACATATCCTAAGGCCAACAATCCGAGGGGGAGTTTGTTGGTGCAACCCTACGGTTTGCACTCGGCTTGTTGTCCGTGTGCGTGAATGTGTGTGTGTATGGAATGGTATGAGGGCATGGGATAATATATATTTCATGCTTATAATTGTGTGTGAATGTTGAGTCATGATGTCGAGTGTGTGTGTCGAGTCAATAGCGAGTTATCGCTAGACGCGTGTTACGCGGTCGTTTGTGTCTCGCGCGCGGTTTCTATTTTGTCGTGCGCGGTTTCTATTTTGTCCTGTGTCGAACGTTCGGCGTGTCGCAGGTGTGTGCAGCAGACCCATCAAGAACTCAAGGATGAGTTTGTGATGAAGAGCCCGAGCCTTGGTGTCAAGCCTCAAGTGATTTCGAAGCTTGCCAAAAGGGTACACCTCAAGATATTGAAGATAGTTACATTACTTTGTGTAGTGTAACATTTCACTTGGTGTAGGCCCTAGTGAAGGGTAGTTTCGAGACCCTTCGTGGTTGGGGACAGTGTGGCACTGTTCCACATCACTGTACCTCGGCTCTTGGGGTTTGTAGGAGCTGGAAGTCATTCCCAACTCGTAACTCTTCCTATCTTGTGTTCTAAGACTATAGTGGCTGCCATAGTACCGTTCGTTCAAACCGACGCTGTGTCGTCAATTCTTTATAAAATCGTGCAATCTAAATTGCTAATTGTAGACGACGTGAAGACGCTCCAGATCCAATTTGAATCAAGTCATTTGCAGCTGTGAGCAGAACGCTATCAACGTTTGAAGCCGCTATGCAGAAATCCGTCTGTGCTCTCTATCTTTCGTTTTAGGCACATTCAAGCCTATTGTGACTATAACAAAGACCAGTCAAGACAAGCAACAAGCAAAGCTCAGGGCGGATCACAAAGTCACTACACAGTCTGAGCACAAGCATGTGGCCACAAGGCCAGTTTACATGTAGAAAACATATGCTATACAATGATCACAACCTAGCAAGGGTAAGCATGCAGGCATATACATAGATCACAGTACAAGGCAAAATCAAGGGGTAAGCAAGTAAGGGAGAGTAGGCACAAGGCCAAGAGTAGAGAAGAAATGCTAATGATTACCAGACCCTAGGGCCTTGGTGAAGATATCAACAGTGTTGGCCTGTTAGGCCACGTAAGCAAGGCAAAGCTGAACACGCTGCTGTAGCTCCCGTGCAAGGAAGTAATGCAGAGCAATGTGTTTCATTCTGTGCTCTGGTCTCTGCTCCCGTCACAACGCAATCATGGCCTTGTTGTCGACGTACGGGACCGGAGGAGAACGAGGCCGCTCAACCAAGTCCGTCAGCAAGTAGGTCAGCCAGCGTAAATCCTATGCACCCATGGCCCCCGCGTAGGTCTCAGCCTAACATCTGGATCTGAGAATAGAATACAAGCAGGTGGACCTCCAGGAGATAGAACGAGGGCCGAGATTGAAAGTGTAACCCTGTGACAACACTGAGTCACCTGGTCGTCTGCCCAAGAAACGTCTGAGTGCCCAGTGAGTACAACGGAACCACGTCCTCCAAGCAGAAGCCCCATGCCCGATGTACTACACAAGTAACCCAGTACCTTCGTAGTAGTCCGGTAGTGCTCAGGGCGGTGCTTCCCGGGCGCAACGTAGCGCGCCAGAATGCTGAGAGGGTACGCGAGGTCAGGTCGAGTGCAGGTCGTCAGGTACATAAGGCAGCCCACAAGCTCTGGATATGGACCACTGGGCTCTACGGATTCGTTCAAAGGTAGAGCCGAGAGGGAGTGGTTCATAGGCAGAGGAGTTGGCTGTGGCGAGGAAAACCGAAAGCTGAAGCGCGTTAGGACCTGGTGCACCATGTGTAACTGAGTCAGCGTGATCTGCAAGCCAAGATAGCTGCGCAGCTCACCCAGGTCAGTGCAAGTGTGTCTCTTCTGCAGCTCCGCCTTCACAAGGGCCAACGCCTCAGTGTCAGCAGTAGCGAAGACCAAGTCGTCGACACACACGAGGATGTAAAACGACGGCAGAGAAAAGGTCGGTGCGTAGAAACAGAGACGGGTGGGCGGTCGAAGGAGCAAACCCAAGAGCCGCAAGTGTCGTCCTCAGTGTGTCGTGCCACTCCCGGGGCGCCTGGCGGAAACCATAGACTGGCCGCCGGAGACTCCACTGGGTACCCTCAGGAAATGACACAGTGAAGTGAAGGCTGGGGAGAAGTCAAGCGAGTGCAGCTCGTAGTCACGCTGTGCTGCAACGTGTAGTAATACTCGAAGAGTAGTCATCTTTGGGGTGGGGGAGAAGGACTATAAGAAGGCAACTCCCTGCCACTGACTGAAGCCTCGTGCAACATAACGCGCCTTCAAGACAAACGGAGAACCTGGCGGCCGCTTCACCGTGGCACTTGCCATCGACTATGTTCGCCCTAGGAGGGGGAAATGCGTCGATGTAGGTGTGGACTTCCAGGATGCCATCTCTGCGTCCATAGCTGTCTGCCAGTGAGAGGAGTAAGGATCCGTGATCGCCTTTGCGTCAGATCGCGGGGTCGGGATCTTTAGTGCATCCGGGCCTCCCTCAAGAGCAAGCAGCATGGCAGCGAGATGAGCTTCAACAGCCAATGGCAATCTCACCCCCGACGGACGAAGTACAATCAGACTTAGATTTAGAAACAAGACTCGCGAAGTAGTCAAGACGATACGCAGTAGCAAAGTCAACAAGCTGAGTGACTAAAGCAGACGAAGCAGCGGACTCAATGGGAAGGTCAGTGACAAGTGTGGCCTGAACACGCGTGACAGTAGGAATGGTGTTGGACTTCTTCGCCAAAGGGAACATGGTGGTGTAGCGAGAGTAGTCATCAATGACCACCAGAAAGAAGCTCTCTCACCCAGGTCCAGGGCGAGAAGCGGGGCCCCGGACATCCTAGTGGAAAGTCTCAAAGGGAGCGGTGGCCGGACGAAGGGAGGAGGAGTGAGGGGCAGCACGCAAGCGACCCTCGACGCAAGGACCACACAGCAGCGCAGGCGAAGGTGGGAGCGAGGGCAAGACGCGAGGAAGACCTAAGACAAGCCTCTGACTGGACATACTGTGGAGACGGGGAAGAGAGGGGTGACCAGGACGGTGGTGCCACAGGACTGTGGGGTGGGCAAGCTATTAGAAGGAATGCTGCCATGAGCAACAAAATGTCGGTGCTGGAATTCGAACTCGTGACCTTCATCTGTCCTAAAAGTGTCTCAGGATAGATTCATGATAGTTTATGCTAAGGCGCTGGTTATGGTGCTCGCGAGTTTTGAACTGGAGACTTTTCGATTCAAGTGTCCCGGAAGTGTAATGTCAGGACAGATTGGGGATAGTTTGGGGACAAATTGGGGACAGTTTGGCGAAATCAATCTCCGGTCGCGCTCGGTTTGAAACTCGGCAGCGAAGTGTCAAAGTCAAATTTACACGGGAGTTGCAGTCGGTGGTCGACGGAATTCTGGACGCAGAAATTCTCGATACGGAATTCCAGTAAATGGAATTCGCTCGGCGAAATTCAAGGCTCGGTATTTCGCGTCGACGAAATTCAACAAGCGACCCGGGTCGACACTTTCTTTTGTGCTTTAGTATTTTTGTACAAAAACATGAGAAAATGCTTGATGTTATACTTATGGTACTTAGAGAAAGCAAGAAACTATGTTATTTCTCTTTGTAACAACCTTGTTAGTTCCTTATTTTATCTTTTCTCTAGGTTCTTTTCTCTGTTCATGGTGAAATATTTAGAGAATGTACTATGTTTTTTATAAACAATATTGTTCTCTAAGTCAATATCACATTATCCTATGACTGTAGTGTGTTTGTGTATTTGCTGCCAAATCTTGTGCGTCGGCTTGTTGGATAGCATGTTCATTCTCTTGCTGTCACGTGACACTAGGTTCCAAATCTTGTATCTTCGTGTTTTTTTCTGATAAAATAAGGACTCCTGACTAGAGAAGTTCAGTTAGATATGTGATTAAGCTGCCTGTTATGGTGACGAAGATGCTTTATGTTTATGTTTTGTATGTGTGTGTTTGTATGTTTGTAGGTGTATGTGTATGTGTGTATCTGTATGTGTGTATATGTGTTTATGAGTGTGTGTGTGTATGTGTGTGTGTGGGAGTAGCAGCCGACTGTTCACAGTGGGAGAGCTGCTCGACAGGCTTCGTCGAGCCGCAAGGGACCACTGTGGTGTTGCTGTCGACCAGAGAGCTCGACAGCTGCAACTGACTGGTCTGGGCGACGGGTGGGCCGTCAACCAGGAGGGGCAGCTCGACCGGGAGCTGTCCGTCGACCTGCAGCTCGAACGGGAGCTGCCCGTCGACCTGCAGCTCGACCGGGAGCTGTCCGTGGACCTGCAGCTCGACCGGAAGTAGTCTGTCGACCTGCAGTTCGACCGGGAGGTCGACGGAGCTGTCTGTCGACCCGACAAGTGAGCAGCGGTCGACGAGGGGAGCTCGGCGATAACCGCTGACAGTTCTGGTCGACAGAAGGGGTCCGTCGACCAGGGGGTAGCTCGACGGGGGCTATGGTCGACCAGAGGGACCTGGTGGTTGACCGGAGGCACCTGGGGGTCGACCAGAGCACCTGGGGGTCGACCAGGTCGACCGGGTAACCTGCTCGACGAGTTCTGCGGAGGCACGCGAACGTCGT